CCCCAAAACCCCAAAACCCCAAAACCCCATTTAACTAAAATTCTCCATTAAATTTGATTGAAATAATTAAAAAGATATAATCGGAAAATGAGGGGCATATTTATGTTGGAAATGATATTTTTGATATTTATTCTAGTATCTTCGATCACATAACCATCAATTACTGGTTCTTAGCATTGGAAAACTTGTGATGAACAATGTAATAGTTTAAGTATTTGAATTGTATTTATAGTATTTTGCAAACGGTACAGACTGCTATCATACTAGAATGTGAGAACATTTCAAGACTCATTCTTTAAATATGACTTACATCAAGAATCAATTCATATTGTAAAAACATTATATAAAGCGATAATCTTTTATAGGATAAAAATGTTATTTAAGCAAAGCTTAGACTCAGAGATTCTTCAATCTACCTGGCTAAGGAACTCTCAATCAAAATAACAATTTTTTAACACGCTATAATAAACGTAGTTATCACTGATGATAAGGAAATTGATAATTCAAGCGAAAAGAAAAGATTTAGAATTTCAGATTATGATGGCATAGAATGGAAGTAATTGTAGGTTGATTAGGATGTAGCAATATTTAACCAAGGTGACCACATGACCATTGTTGGCAATGACAGATCAGATCAAATTTAATATGTGGTAGAGTATAATCCATTTAGAATTCTTATGCATATCAATGGAAAATTAGTAATGGAGGTGAATAACAACGATTTACTCTATTTTGAGAACAAAAAAATCAAAAAAGAAGCAAGCAAAACTATGATAGATAAAATTATGTTTGAATCGTGGGATTATACTGATGCAAAAGAACCACTAGCTAGTTACTTCCCTGGAATCCGGTTCGCTGATAAAAAGAACTTGTTTTCTAATAAGATTCTGAGAAAAGGCAAGAATTTCGACTTCAGAGAGTCACTTGGACTGTCATTCAAAATGAATTCACAGTATTTATATGGATTGCCCGAAAGAGCTGATAAATTTTTATTACGATCGACTGAAGACACCGAACCTTATAGATTATACAATTTGGATGTGTTTGAGCATGAACCTTATAGTCCTTAGTCGCTGTATGGATCAGTTCCGTATATAACAGCTCACACTGACGAATTTGACACATCAATCCTCTGGGTCAACGCAGCAGAAACTCATGTAGACATTTTTAGTGGTGATAAACAAGATGATAATTAAGTTGAGGAAAAATTTAGTGATAGAAGAATGACATTTCTGAGTGAGTCTGGTATGATGGAATTTATATTGATAGGAAATTCCGCTTAAAACGGAGGACCTAAGAGAATTCAAGAAAAATTGGCAATAATTACTGGTTATTAGGTTTTACCACCTTATTGGGCACTCGGATTTCACTACTCTAAGTGGGAGAAAATATCTACAGACAGACTCAAAGCATTATTGACTCAGTTTAATTAGAACAAATACCCAGTAGATGTTTTCTGGCTTGATATAGAGTATGCAAGAAATAAAACATATTTTGAATTTGACTAAAGCAGGTTTTAGAATTTTGAGGAATTTGTATAAATGATTGAAAAAGAAGAAAAAAGATTAACCATTATTACTGATCCTCATATTAAGGTTGATGACGACTATTTCGTGTATAGAGATGGATAAAATGTAGTAGTAAAGTTGGAGAAAGATGAGACAATAGTTGGGGCATTCGTGAGAGATCATTAGAACAAGACATTTGTTGGTGACTGCTGGCCTGGAAAGAGTGTCTGGATTGACTATTTAAATGATAAAGCTAATGAGTACTGGAGATCTTTGTATCAGTATGATAAATTTAAAGGCACAAATAAATTATTTGGTTATTGGGTAGATATGAATGAACCCTCTGTTTTCAGTGGCGATGAACTTACTTTTCCTAAAAATAATATACATATAGCTCCTACCAATCATTATTTTTAGCATAAGGACTTACATAATGCATATGGCTTGTTAATGGCGAAATAATCATATTAAGGTGCCTATGAAAGAGAAAATGATAGAAATTTACGCCCTTTTATGCTAAGCAGATCTGTTTTCTTTGGCAGCTAAAAATATGGAGCAATGTGGACTGGAGATAATTAAGCTAATTATGAGTTTACCGCCCTCTCAATTTCGATGTGTTTAACAATGGCTGTTTCAGGAATACCATTCTGTGGATCTGATGTAGGAGGCTTCTTCGGTAAGTCTTATCAAGATTACTTGGCAAAGTGGTATTAAATAGCTGTATTTCAGCCATTCTTCAGAGCTCATGCACATGATACAGTTAAAAACAGAGAACCATGGCTGTAAGGCAAATATTCACCTGTTATTAATGATGCTCTTTTCTTGAGAATGTTCATTCAGCCTTATATGTAATTACTTTTTTATTAAAAACAATATATAGATATACGATGTTCTACTTTACTACTATTACTGGAATACCTTTAATGAGACCAATGTGGCAAGAATATCCTCAAGACATTTAAACTTTTAGTTTGGATCTCTAGTATATGTTTGGTGATTCATTCCTTGTCTCTTTACCTTTTCCAGACCCTACAAGGTAAGATTTGTATATTAATTTAATAGATGTATAACTTACTTACCTCCAGCAGATGATTGGTATGATTATTACACTTAAACAGTAATGCGGAAATCGGAAAAATTTATGGAGTATCCTCGAGACGTCTCCTAGATCGGATTATTTGTAAAAGCTGGAACTATCTTACCCTAGAAAGTTATAAGGCGATCAAGCTCTTTAAAGACTCTAAAAGATCCATTCCTGTTCGAAATTTATCCCAGAATAGACAATAGAACTGCCACTGGTTATTTGTACTTAGATGATGGGGAGACATATAATTTTGAGAGAGAGGATAAGTACACATTGCTGGAGTTCAAATATGATGAAGATTATGGACTTATTGTTAATCATAAGAAATTCAAATATGTCGACAAACCCATAATAATTCAGCATATGGTTATTTATAATCTTAGCAGAGCTCCATTTGCTGTTGATGTTTTAAGAGATGATGGATTTGAATTGCTTACTCCTGAATAAGCTATTTACTAAGATGAGTCTTAGAAACTGATTTTGAAAAATATTAAAATTGATTTGATGGCAATTGAGGAAGGCCAAATTATGAGGATGCAGTTTGCCAAGAAAGAAAAAGTACAAAGAATTTCAGAAGATTTGTGAATTTTCTTTGAATTTATATATAGATCATTGTTTAGTTTTTAAACTATAATCATGGGGTTTTGGGGTTTTGGGGTTTTGGGGTTTTGGGG